GAATGCAACAGGGCAAGATTTGGCACAACAAGGGCGATCCTTCTATCCCAACACAGCTTCTGATTAAGCCTTGGGAAATTCCAGGCCTGTGCAACATACAGAGTTAAAAGGAAGTGAATCATTTCTGACACCAGGAAAATAATATATTAAATAGGCTTGAGACATTTCCATTTGTAAATCAATGTTTAGAATCTGGATGGTAGAGACTTGTGGTAGAGAATATAATCATGAATTTGAGATGGTTGGTGATATGAATAGATCTAACAAATAAAATAGAGGCTGCATTCTTTTTATGTCTGTCATGACCAGAGGAAACTATTCCCTCTTTTTACCTAATCTTCTCAGACCCAGATTGACTCTTTTTGTCCCTCCAAACAAAGCCCCCTGCAATCCCATCTGCACCAAAGGATAGAAGCCGCCTCACCAATTCACAGCACAGCTCAAGGGCAGCCCTAACAAAGGAGTTACAACATAGTAAGGAGTCAGGTGAGACACCCTAATCTTCCCTCCTCTTCCATCCCAGCAGATGACCTCAGCTTTCCATGCCTTTTATCAATGGGTTTGTTCAGTTCAGTCCTTTCTCCTGAAAGGGCTGCTTTGCTTAACAATAGAAATTAACAACAGGTAGATAGAACAAAGATCTATTTGGCTTCCTCAAAATTAGCCACCAAATCAAAAGGATTTCCTGCATTGTTGTGGTTGTTGTTAGTAGAGAAGTCATGTTCAACCCATTGTGACCCCATGGACAATGTTCCTCCAGGCCTTCCTGTCCTCTACCATCCTCTGGAGTCAGAGGTGGGTTGCTACCAGTTCGGTAGAACCGATTCGTCAAATCTACTGANGATTTCGCCGGCTCAGGCATTGCGAATAAGCGTTCACTGTTTCTTCGCACGGCAAACAAAAAAAAAACCTCAAGAAGTCAGTCTGAAGAAGGGGAAACGATCGCGTCGCTGTATTTATAGTCTCTCTATGCAAATGAGAGGAGCCAAGGCATCACGATGTTATTGGCCGAAGGAGCTTTGATATCATCGCTCCTGCGCACGCACATGCAAATGAGAGCCCTGCAAAATGCCCGGATTTCTATTGGGCAGACCCTGTACCTGCCCTTCTTTACTGGTCGCCTTGAGAGCTGGCCGTCTCATTGGTTCTAAAATCCTGGTAACAGGTTTGGCCCAATCAGGGATGGCGCTGGCGGACGCGAGGAGGGCATAAAAGGAGTCGGTGGTTTCTCTTTCTTTAATTGCTATCTTATTTTTTCTTCTGTGTTTGAGCTGAGGGCCGAGAGCTCAGCGGCGCAATGTCTGGCCGTGGCAAGCAGGGAGGGAAAGCTAGAGCTAAAGCGAAATCTCGCTCGTCTCGTGCGGGGCTCCAATTTCCCGTAGGTCGAGTCCACCGCCTCCTTCGCAAAGGGAACTATGCCGAGCGGGTTGGTGCCGGAGCCCCCGTTTACCTTGCTGCAGTGTTGGAATATCTGACAGCTGAAATTCTGGAGCTGGCTGGCAACGCTGCCCGGGATAACAAGAAAACTAGAATAATCCCTCGCCACCTCCAGTTGGCCGTCCGTAACGACGAGGAGCTCAATAAGCTACTGGGAGGCGTCACTATTGCCCAGGGAGGAGTCTTGCCCAATATCCAAGCTGTGCTGCTACCAAAGAAGACCGAGAGCCACAAGGCCAAAGGCAAATGAAGACGCTGCCCCTCTTAACATCAGTGTAAAAAACACAAAAGGCTCTTTTAAGAGCCACCCACATTATCAAAAAAGAGCTGTTACTTGTCTTCTGGTTTTTTCGTATAATGTATGTATGTAATAAAGAAGGGAAGTCCAGTTCATCTTCATTGGATGTCAAGTTTTTACAACACATAGTGGCAGTTTTGCGACAGTGATTGCAGCTCTCTACTGAGGCAGTGGATGGCCCTTAAAAGGGCCTTTTGATTTACTTTGAAAACTATCAAGTTGCAGTATTTAACCCCCG